CAAGAGCCCCGCACACCGAAACCCTAAAACACAAGAGCCCCGCACACCGAAACCCTAAAACACAAGAGCCCCGCACACCGAAACCCTAAAACACAAGAGCCCCGCACACCGAAACCCTAAAACACAAGAGCCCCGCACACCGAAACCCTAAAACACAATATGTTTTAAAGGCTTACAATATTTTTGAAAGATATTTAACGCCAGAAAAGGTTGAGCTATTTGCTTTTTTTAACAAATGATATAAGCATGATTTAAATTTTCTTAATACTTTCTTCAAAAGAAAATAGTTTTGTGAGAAAAGTGTACTATTTTGTTTAATGCTTTAATTTCAACAAGTAAACTCGTGATTTGGATTACTTCCAGAATTGCCCTAGTATTTTGAATATAGAAGCTACACCTTATAAGGGGTTATTTTTTGAACTAATTAGCATAGTGGTAATTACAATCCTTTCATATTGTAATAGCATTATTAACACAATAAAGTTAGAATTCTTACGCTACTAACGAAAACTGACAGTTCATTTACATAATCCAATAGCATTTGCAAATGACAAACTCTATATTTCAGTCATTCAGGTATCAATCAAATTATCTTGGTAATCAAAACGAGCAAAGAGTAATTGTTACAGCTAAGGCAGGATCAGATCCCGGTAGTGGAGCTTTCTCTTTGTGTTGAAGTATTCTGTCAAAAGGGTTGTAAAATAGAGTAAGGACACAATCGAGTAATCCATTGGTATCAAACGTACAATCGATATGACAAAATGGTTGAAAATGCTCTGTATATACATGTGATTATGGAAGATAAATATCCTCAAATTGATTAGGCATTACTTTATTTGAGAACTTCAAAGAGAAGGATCTGAGACTGATAAAGAAAGAGATAAAAAAAGGGGGTTGTGCTAATAAAAGACTTCAAGTTTTAATTATGATCCTAAGAAAGTGTCTGAAGTATGAAGTCAGTCTGGTTGAAATGAAGTATATATTAGAAATATTTCACGTATATTTAGAGTTGTAGGTTTAAGGATCTTAATGAACGCTCTTAAATATAATAAGACGCACCCCTAGATACGTATTACATAAACGTTAAAATACTTACAAATATGATTCCTTTAGAAGCTCTTATGGGAACATTTAAACAATTTATGAGCTCCTTTAAGTTTCCCGATAACTTTGTTGTTCTTAATGACATTGGTACATAACTGTCATGGCGCAGAAGTCTGAAAAGGGTTATCACTTGTTTGGAAACTTTCATTATTAACGGTAATATTTCCTAGTCCCTGGATGACATATCTTCCTACAACTAAGAGAAAGCTATTGCCAAAGTTGAGCATTATGCTTTTGATGCCATTATAAAGAATTTATCCGAAACTATTTAGCAGAACATTGACAGCTTATCTTTGACAACTTTCACTATTATCAACGAATATCTCACTGAGACATTTGGTTTTCCTACTATTGATTACGTGGTTAAGTACTATTCCAACTTTTTTTAAGCGGTGGATTACCATCTTGCATGTGTTGAATTGGAGCGCATTCAGTCGTTTTACACTCCTGGCGAAATGGCCCATATCTCTCTTCTTTTGAACGAATCTTTTTCTTTCCGTACAGCCCTTTACTTTAGAGTTGAATCCCTTCCAGGCCAATTAATTAATGGTATGATCCATCCAGAAGCCATCACTGATGCCTTATTCCAGTCGGTCCAAAGTCGGCAGAAGTAACTCTTGCTGTCAACAACACCAAGAGCTCCTCCTTTCGTCCAAATCACAAAAGACGTTTACCTCTCGCAAAATGATCTGCTATAAGCCAAACCACAATGCTAATGAGTGTGGATTCCCAATTCAAAAACCATATCGGTTTGCACATAAGAACAAGCAAGCCAAACCCAATGATGGTTCTGCATCTGCCTATGCTGGTGCCACGATTTTCGCTTATGATGCCACGAATTTAACTAACTCTTAATACATGTCTTCACCTTACGTTTACCTTGACAGTGGTTCTACGAGTCATATCTGTACTCGCCGTGATCATTTTTAAACTTACACTCCGGTTAGCAATCATACTATTTGTAGTGTTAATAATGCTGAATTAACTGTTGAATTAACTGTTGCTGGTATTGGCAATTTGTTCCTGTGGAATTATTGAATTACACAGAGAATTTGAGCGAGAAAAGATGGAACTCAAATACGTTCCAAGTACTATAGTATCATTTCAACAGAATCCGTACATAGATTTCTTGGTTTAAAACATAGTGTTCAATTTTATAGTTGTTCTATCAAATAATATTAAAATATTTATACTTCAGATTATACTTATACGCCAAAAAGTGTCGAACTCATGAGTGGGGGTCGAAGATCATAAACATGGCTAATTATTCTAGGCGAGTATTCACAAATACTATTATAAAGTCTTTTAATTGTCAAAGTTTATAATTGTAAACAATCAACTAGAAATACAGGGGTTTAAGGGAACTAAAGTGGTACAAGAACGTAGAAAATTAGTTTTGTAGGCACCGCCAGCTAATACTTAAACTCAAATTCCATGTCATGGTGACAAGCCTGAAACTTTTTCAATTGTGCGCGGTTACAGGCACAAGTGTTCTAAAAAGGACGACTGCAGTAGCCAATTACCCCTATTTGATTCTTATATTTAAACTTTCAGATCTCAGAGTAATGAGTGTTAGTATGAAAACACAACGAAACATCATTGGGTTACCCGGTCACCACCATGTACGCACGAAATATAATGCTATAACATGATTGTATTCTTGCTAACCTACGTCCTATTGAATTAAACAAAAGGATAAAAGTGCTTTAACTAAAGAGGCAACCACTTTGTCACGTGAACAACCCTAAAGTGGCAAGATGACCGGAAAGGGCCCAGATCTTTATGCGGTAAACAAGAAAAGTGGAAAGGTGAATAATTGGGCTTTTTCGAACCTACTATTGTATCAAGAGATGTTAGACAACTTTTAAACCTGCAGCACTTTCAAGTTGTTGTAAACCTAAACTCTGCACGTTGTATTCGGTTTTTTTAAAATAAGATTCTCAAAAGCAGTTCCGTCTTTCTCATCTTACTAGTTATCATTATTTCGAAACCTAAATAGGCTTTAATTTAGTTGCAACGAACAATTACGTAATTCATTACACTCATTGCAAACACACTAAGGCGTAGCGGCCATTGATGTTTGATGGCATCACATTCGTAATCCTTGGAAAATTTTAAAAGGCGAGGGAGATAGAAGAAGAGGAAGTAGAGTACTTTTTGAAATGAACTTTGAAATAGAAGGTTGTTGTAGACGATCAACAATTCGTCCATAGACTGACCGGAATACTACGGATACAGTTCCGTTTTTAAACTTAACCTTATTTGCATATCGATTCATTTTGCAACGGAATTACTTCAATCTAGCCCAATTTAGTCAGTGGCTTATTCATGAAAACGTCTCGAATTATTGTTGTCAGGATTTGGATTGCATTTTGACATGCAGAATAAAAGTATAAATTTGTTGCTTTCTCAATTAAAAATCGTGTTTATTGGGATTAAGGGTGAGGATAAAAATGTACAGTATTAATTCAAACTCATAGGAATTCATTTAATTACATTCAAGATTGATGGGAATCTGGCAACCCTTTTAGGGATAACAAATAGTACAACATTGTGATGACATTTATTTTTTATAATATGTGAACCCTCACTATTTTTTCAGCCATATATACAGAATTACGCAAGATCTTTTTAATAATACTGTTAGAGGCTTTACACAATTTAAATGAAATCTTACAAGATACGACATGGTACATGAAGTTTTTCCTTTCTAAAGAAGGAGGAGGCCAAGCATTTTAACCCCACCTTGGGCAATTAAAAGAAATCCAATATTCATCCTTTAACATGAGCAAACTGTAAGTAGATAATACACATTTGAGGGTTGCTGATTGTTTAATGCATACGAATTGCTAATTCGTGAATTGAACAGCCTGCAAGGGAATAACCTTTAATGTGCCCCACTTTTAGTATTTTAAGTTTTATTCTTATATATCAATCCTGGCATGCAATGAATAAACCATAACCAAATATAATTTTGTATCATTACTGCGCATAATTCCGTGATTTTCTGCTGATGTTGGTGAGAGCTCTCTTGGTGAACATAAGCAGTTATACGTAATTATCTTTTGTTTAAAATTAACAATCGAGCCAAAGAGTGGCTTTTTCTCAAACAATTGAAGCAGCTATTCAATTGTGTTGCATAAAATCGAAAAGGAAGATATGCATTCAACACATAGCCAGCAACCGCCTATTACTACGCGACCAATTGAATCATAGCTCCCTTAAACCGTTAAAGCTAAAGCGTTTTGTATATATATATAGATATATATAGAGTATTTATCAGACTACAGTAGTCAATATTATGGAACCTAAATTAAAAAACCAGTTCACGGTTTTGTAAAGACTTACTCCGACGAGGTCTTTATTCTTTATCTATTGTTATACGCTCTCCTTACCCAATATATGCACTACTGCATAAGATTTATTGTCTTGATACAATCAGCAACCTTTTCACTTTAAAGCTTATTACTGCAAATTGTACTTGTTCTTGGACCACATTCAATTACGGCGAAAACATAGCAATTCAGTTAAGAGAAAAACATGCTAACAAAAATGGTAGGTTATTTATTAAGAGTAGCTTCCCTTCAATGCACAATTAATATGTGAATCTTGGAAATTTTGACTTTCTAACGTTTAAAAGTTACTACAGAAAAAAATGCTAGGAGGAAGTAAGGGCTACCTTCTTTTTTTAGCGGCTTCTTCTGCGTTAGCAGAGACGTTGCCAGCATGGTCGTTCTCCAATTCTTCTAGCTACAATCCATCGTCAAGTGTGGAAATAGCACCACTGTCGTTCCATTATTATAATTCTTCGTATATGCCCTCACAGGAACCTACATCGGAAAACACGACACCTATTGAGTCTTTTACACTGGAGGAAAATACCACTACTGAGAAAGAACTGATAACCACAGATATTGTCTCATCAGTATCTAACCCTGAAACATCTAATACCGAACCTGGTACTTCTATTGAAGCTGGCACTTCAACAGAAATGGAAACAGATACTGGTACTATTTCTGAAGAGACGTCCACTCCACTTGTTACAAACCCTGAAGAATCATCTACTGGTACAACTTCTGAAGAAAGTACTGATACTATTTCTGAAGAAAGTACTGGTACTATTTCTGAAGAATCATCTACTGGAACAACTCCTGAAGAAACATCTTTCGCTACTGGTACAACTTCTGAAGAAAGTACTGGTAGTATTTCTGAAGAGACATCCACTCCACTTGTTACAAACCCTGAAGAATCATCTACTGGTACAACTTCTGAAGAAAGTACTGATACTATTTCTGAAGAAAGTACTGGTACTATTTCTGAAGAATCATCTACTGGAACAACTCCTGAAGAAACATCTTTCGCTACTGGTACAACTTCTGAAGAAAGTACTGGTACTATTCCTGAAGAAACATCTACTGAAGCTGGATCGTCTAGTGAAGCCGGTTCGTCCACCGAAACCGACACATCCACAATTGTTACCAATACAATTACCGAGCACGGTTCTTCTACAATAAGCTTGACTTTAACTGATTCATCTACACTTACAGAAAACGAAACTTCCCTTGAAGAAGTCTCTTCAACTGGTACACCTTCATCTACAGAAAATGAAACTTCCAATGAAGAAGTCTCTTCAACTGGTACCACTGCAATTGCTTCTAGTGCAACTGAAATCACTTCAATTGGAACAGAGACAATCTCCACATCTGCCCCAGAAATTACCTCATTTTCTTCAAGTTCCTTGATTGTGTCCTCATCTGAACCAGAAAGCTCCTCTTCTTCAACATCTTCCTTGCCTTTAGAATTCCAAGGTAAAAGAGATGACTCTCAAGCCGGCTTTGTTTTAACTGTTCCAGGTTGGTTAACTCCATTCATAGCCAACATTGAAACATTTGGTTTTGTATACTCGGAAGTTCTCATTTACATTGAAGGAATAACTCCTATTCCTTCTACATGGTATTCAGTGTTTGCTGTTGATAACATCACTACCTTCTCTTTCTTATACGCAAACTTAGCTGACGATGAGATGGTAAAGATGATGTTTGTGTATCCAACAACCGAGTTTGGTTTCTTTGTCTCAAGATTGGTTCTTGTCTTAAACGATAGACTGTCATTACCCCTTAAGAGGAGAGAAGAGTTAGGGTTGAAGAAGCGTGATTTTGTTACCGTGACAATGGATGCAACTGCTACCGTTAGTGATGTCTTTTCTTCAACTTCAGATACTCTTGATTTCCCAACTGATGTTCCAGCTGTTCAGATTCCAAGTTTCAGCGCCACCCCAACCTCAGGTGCTATTTCAGAAGCTAGTTCCACTAGTGAAGATACATCAGAAGCTACCTCGGGATCCATCTCAGAAGCTACATCAGAAGCTACATCTGAAGCTACATCTGAAGCCACCTCAGAAGCTACTTCGGAATCCGCTTCAGAAGCCACCTCAGAAGCTACTTCGGAATCCGCCTCAGAAGCTACCTCTGAAGCTACTTCAGAATCCGCCTCAGAAGCTACATCAGAAGCTACGTCGGAATCCATCTCAGAAGCTACTTCAGAAGCTACTTCAGAATCCGCCTCAGAAGCTACCTCAGAAGCTACCTCGGGATCCATCTCAGAAGCTACTTCAGAAGCTACTTCAGAATCCGCCTCAGAAGCTACATCTGAAGCTACATCTGAAGCTACCTCGGAATTCATCTCAGAAGCTACCTCAGAAGCTACCTCGGGATCCATCTCAGAAGCTACTTCGGAAGCTACCTCGGAATCCGCCTCAGAAGCTACATCAGAAGCTACCTCGGAATCCATCTCAGAATCTACATCA